AAAAAAAGAAAAGTTACATTCATTTTTATTGTGTGTCATGTACCATGACAAGATGATGCAGATCTATGGACAACTTGCAGGAGTCAATTCTATCCACCCACCACGTAGGACCTTAGTGTCCTTACCAGCTGAACTAAGTCTTTGACCTAAAGATCACAAGTTCAAGGTCACCCTTTATTACAAAGAGAGTTTCAGGCCAGCTGAGGTTAGGAGACCATTTCAACAGTGCTTCCCCTACACCCTAAACAAAATAAGAGGGTTTTGTTGTTATTGATATTTTTGTATTTGTGTGTGAACAAATGGCATGTATATGCATGCATGCATGTATGTGCATGTGTGGATCCATGCATAAATGTGGGTATGTGCATATATGTGTGTGTTCATTCCTGTATATATGCAGGTGGGTGTCTGTGTGTTCATGCATGTATGTATGTGTGTGTCTGTGTGTTCATTCCTCTGTGTGTGTGTCTGTGTGTGTGTGTGTGTGTGTGTGTGTGTGTGTGTGTATGCGCTAAGCACACTGAGCTAGCTGGCCTGTGAGTTTCTGAGGATTCTTTTGTCTTCACCTCCCATCTTCCCACAGGAGCACCCGCACTATAGACAGACTCTTGGGCTATGCATCCAACTTTTATGTGGGTTCTGGGGATTCAGCAGGTCCTCATGCTTGTACTGAAGCCCTGGTACCCATGTACTGCCCTTCCTAACCTTGGGGTTCATATTTGAAACAGGGTCTTGTTAGGTAGTCCTGGCTGGTCTTGAACTCGTGGTAATCCCTTTGCCTCTGGACTGCCTGTAACTCCAGTTCCAGAAGGATCTGATTTCCTCTTCTGGCCTCAGCAGGCACCTGCACCCATGAACACTGACCTCACATACACATAATTAGAATTAAATGAATCTTAAAAAAAAATGAATGAAGAAGCAGGCTGCAGTGTACCATAACCCTGATCAGTTAGGAGAGTCCAGGCTGTGCTGAGGTGAACAATTGCCTCTGAACTGGCCTCCATGTCTGAAGTGTTGGGGTTACAAGCTGGTGCCACTCTGAGGCTTTACCAGCTCTCAAAGTGGCTGGCCTAAATGCTAACCTCCCTTTTCACTTAAAGTTTCGTTTCAGTTGAAAGAGGATGATTAACCACATGGAACCTCCCAGCCACCTAAACTCAGCTTACATAAGCTTCTGGCTGGAGAAACACTCAGTGGTTCCAGGCCCAACGGATCCTGGGAGGCATTGGTTTTCTCTACCTTCAGGAGTTTGAATTGAGACAGTCTTGCCCTGCCCAGAGATGCTATCTCACCTCTAAGTGTTTATGCCTTGTGCAATGACCTCCTCAGGGTAGGCATCTGGAACCTTCAGGAGAGTGAGGGAAGAACAGGGCACCTTGCTAGTTGGGAATTTTTTCTTTGACGCAGGGTCTCATGTAGCCCATGCTGTCCTTGGATTAATTATGTTAAGAATAGGAATGGTTCCAATTGCCTAAGTATACAGGCTGGACACTTTACAGAGATCCCGTCCTGAATACTCACAGTGGAACATCAACTTGGAGGAATGGGGGAGCCTCTGCTTTACAGATAGAGAAACAGAGGTCAGAGACCAACCAAGCAACTTGTCAGTATGAAGAAGTAAAAGGAAGAGGCCGGATTAGATTTTTTTTTTTAATTTTTTGTTTTGTTTTTGAGACAGGGGTTCTCTATGTAACAACCCTGACTATTCTGGAACTCATTTTGTAGACCAGGCTGGCCTTAAATTCACAGAGATATGCCTGCTTCTGCCTCCCAAGTGCTGGGATTAAAGGTGTGCAACACCATCGCCCAGGCTTGGATTAGATGTTTTTAGGATCCTGCTGAGTCATGGCTATGGCCTTGATCAGGACCAGACGCTTCATCCAGAAAAACTCCATCTCATCCCTTTCAAACCTACTTTGATCTTCTATGTGTATTTTATTTGAAACACTTTATTTATTGTGTGTACATATGAGTACTGGTGTTCAAGTGTGGAGGTCAGCCCAAGGTGTCACGACGACTGGTTCCCTCTCACTGAGGGTTCTGAGACTTTCTGCCTGAGCAGGTGGAGCCTGCTCTGGGACTTCAAGAACTCCGATCTTAGTGAAAGACTCCCCGCTGGGCGTCTTCCCTCGGGAGAGACCCCAAGCCCAAAGACCAGTCAAAGCACGCAGCCGGATGCAAGCAGCAAGAGGTTTATTTGGGGTACACAGGTACCTGCGGGCGACAAAGCCTCTCGGGGACTTTGCGCCCCGCAGGTTGGGGGTGAGGGGTTTTTATAGGGGAGCAAAAAGCAAGGTTTACAGAAGCGAGATGCAGGGTGGTAAATTGTTAACCTAGATAACATTGAGGGGACTGCTTGGCGGTTTATTGTTCCTCTCATCCTGCCTTCCCCTTTTCTGGCTGGCGACTAGATGTCTGATAGCATAGCCCCTGATCCGTGATGAGCCCCGCTTTCTACGTGACTCAGGCCTCGCAATCTTCTCTTTCTTTGTTCCTATGACCTATCCATAAATCTTATGTTTCGCAGCCAGATGAGGCTATCTTTGCTCAGGTGTCTTTGCTCAGCATTGTGGAGGTCCTGAATTAGGCCTGTTATTTGTTCAGCGCTCTGGAGGTCCTGACTCCGGAGGCCTTAATGGAGCTTGCTATCTGAAAACCTTTGCAGAGCGTTATAACTGTGGTTAAGGTTAAAAACCAGTTTTAACTGTGACCCCAATGAAGTTGGGGTCCTTCATTAGCAGGTGCTCTGCACACACCTGCTGCTTTTATAGGTCTCAGGCTCTAAGCTAGGTACACAGACACAGCAGAATGTGAAAGAGAATCTCTGTCCTTGTGGAGCTCTGATCGGAGAAACTAAAAGGAACACACAAATGCAGGCATGGCTTTGGCTTTAGAGATGATGGGAAAGTCAGGGCTCAGAGGAACACTTGACAGCGCAGAATGAGAAGTAGGGGTTAGTGGTCAAGGGCCTGCCGCGGTGACGGGCCACTTTTGATCAGAGCCCTTCCTGCACGACTTGGATGGCTCGCTTCTCTTTGCAGAAACTTCCGTTTTCTCATCTGTGCAATAGGGACAAAGACAGCTACCTCAGGACTTAGGCTCTCAGTGTCTTTGCACAGACAGTCACCACCATTGTTCTGTCCTGTAGGAAGTGACCTTGTTTGGCTCTTTCCTTCCTTCTGGGCATTTTATCCACACTGTCCTTAGATTCATTCTGCCAGCAGATCAAGCCTCTTCTTCCCTCAGGGCTTTTTACAACTGTTCTTGCTGGTGGGGCTTCTCTTACACCAGGTTATTCTCCAGCTACAGTTCTCTTTCCTGTGTTTACGCTACCTACGGGAGCCTTTTTGCAGACCGCATCCACATCCAAAACATTCTCATGTTCAGTTGTCTTCATATCTCCTACCCTCACCTGTTATTATGGTTTCTTTCTCTACATGAATGCAGGTTCCTAGAAGACAGATTTTTTTTTTTTAAATTTTTTTTTTTTTTTTGCCCCGTGGTGCATCCCCAGTCCCGGGATCCGTAACTGGCACTTTATCATAAATGGTGACAGGGATGAATGGATGAATGAGGGCGAACACCAGAGCCCCGGCCTCTGCATCCTTGCTCTCCCGCCGCGGCGGGCTACCTGGTTATTCAGTGTCCGTCCACCACCCCTTGGCCCCCGCGCTGGGTTCTTGCATCCAGAACCAACTCGTACTAGCGAGATGCTTCCTGCTAGCATGGGCGGCGGCCGCGCGAGGGTCCCGCGGCTAGAGGGCAAGCGCGCGGTCCCCCGCCCGCCCCGCCCCCACATTCAGGGCCCGCCCCACAA